TTCAATATGAAATATGCGGGCCCCTTCGGGATAATAATAAAATTTTATTGCATAGGATGTATAATCTATTAGGTATGCTGGCAGCATTACCGATGATCATGTCAGAGCTTATTAAAAGGCTTCGTGAAAAATATCTCAGTCTCTGTAAATGCTTCTTAGCCAATATCAATAATGCAACGAATAATGAAAAACTCCCTCAAAAGTCCTAGCCGTTTTTACCCAATATAATGCTCAATTAAGCTGCGGTTGCTGCTCTTAGCTGAGCACTACGAGGTTCGTGGTGAATGCATGCCTTGTAGTGCGGTGATCATCTTCGGCTGATCAGGCGCGTTGCTTGCGCATGCCTTCGTTGAGTTGGACGTTGATTGTCTAGTACTAATTTCCCTTCAGATGGTGACTTTAGAACTTAATGATGCCAAACTTCAGTTAGCTTGGATAGGAATTGATAAAATTTCGCATGCACCCAAGGAGCGAATCAGCGCACCACAGCGAAGGTAGTGTAGCCCTGCTCTGTTATTCTGTGCAGCCCTGAGAGTTTTATTCGGGAGTAATTGGGCAATTTTGTTGGACAAGATTCGTAATAATATTGAAGGAGGTTTTATTCGGGAGTAATTGGGTAATTTTGTTGGACAAGATTCGGAGTAAATGGTTGTGGTGACCTATGATTTAAGCTGTTTATGGAAAGTGTGACGGTAGGCCTATTGTCTATACTACTTATACAATTAAAGTTATCCAATCATTCATATGAATCTTTTACTTATTTAGAAACAATCCATTTGTCATAGAACAGCGTAGACTGTTGATGATGTCACTGTCCATTGTTTTCAGGCGCCTGATCAAGCCATACATCAATGTTTCCTGTTCAAATGTTTCCTTTGCTTCTCACTTAACACATCCACGATGATTTCTTATTGAAAATTTATCCTCCGTAAGACCGGCCAACCGTCGGCCCATCGCTGGCCACCGATAAACCGCCCGCGGTTTCCGGTTTGGGTTAATATTATCGATCACGGAAAACAAGAAGAAGTAAGACCCTATATATCTGTCTTCGCTGAATTCAGCTTCCCGAAAGTACGTACGCTGATAATTATAATTTAAGTGTAACTCTAACGAATTCTGTCGAAATTCAATATGAAATAATTTTGAAATAATCTTTAGCTGATTTTCGCACATCTTTTCATGTAAAGCAGCCAAACGTTTGTTATTTCAGAGCAGAAATTGAGATTTTATTTATTATAAGTTATATTTTAATGCGGCCTTGCTCTCGCCACATGCCACAAGTGCGGTGCACGCCACATCAGGAAACGGTGTGCGCAGTGCGCAGATAACGTAAAGTTACGGCTGATAACGATGCCGTAGGAATGGCCCACGTGTCTTTGTTTACGGTAGTCGACCGTATGCGTGGCGATGCATCCGTAACCTGCACTTCTGGATGACATGGGAGAACAATTATACTACATAAAATACTTTTAATACCTGAGAACACTTGTGTTACGTGAATTAAATGTAACACTTGAAACACATTTTGATTGACATGTAGCTTTGGTTATCTCTTAAATCACAATATTCCCAGTTCCCCAATCAATTAGGAACGGGTTAAAAGAACGTCTGGGACGTTCACTCGAGTTCAGTTCAGACACTTATTGAAAGCAGTGCTACGACATAGACTAGATGTCATTACGCCTATGTTAATTGAAAAAAATAGTGCAAGGCGCGGGTCGAATGAGGCCGTCAGAAATTTCACAGCGCAAGCTGCTTATTTGCGCTGCATCAACAATTCCAATAATTTTAATTCACGCCGTAATTTTTCTTTTTGTGGTCTGTTCGCTATTCGTTTTTCGTTGCGTTATGTCTTTACTTCGATAAATATATTCTATTCATCCAACTGCGTGTTTTATACACATGACTGTTAAGTTGAGACCTAATTTTTCAACATGCCTCAAATCTAATATCAATCTTAACGTTTTTGTGTGCTAACATGTGCGGTTTAATTATCGAGTCAAACTACATCAGTTAATTTGCTTGCAGTATCGACTTGTTCCTTTGAAGATAACGTTTGAGAAAATTGACCTTTTTTTCCTTCATTTCAACTGCAGTAACGTATACAATTATTCTTTACATTTTCCCGCACAACTTCCGACCTCCAAAACGGGCTTCCGCCTAATACGTACAGCTTCCAAATCCTAGCAACCAAACCGGACATGAAAACACGAGGATTGAAATTATTCAAATTAATTTCTTTATACATGAAGAATCAATTACGAATGTAATTAAATATTTCTTCCACGCTATCAAGCATTTAAGTTGCAACGGACTTCCGCAAAGTATTGCCTTAAGCGTTAGACCTCCGCATGCCGGAATTTCACAGCGGCCTTAGTTCTAACCGCACTTTGTTAGTAGGAACGTTGCGCAGAGAGTTGGGATTTTTTAGTTTCACGACCATATATTTTCCTGTCAGGTGAGTTATATTATATATGTGTTATAATAAGTCGAATTAGTTTATAGCTGAGCTATAAACTAATTCAAGTTGAATTAGGGTGGTTGGAATTCTAGGAATGGGTGTTCAATTATTCATCAGTGATCCAGCCAGGTGACATGATCCGTTGTATAATATCAGCTGAATATAAAAGAAAAATTTAGCATCATATTTTTACATAAAATATGATACGTGTATTTGTTCATTTATTACCCCTCCAGAATTCCTATCATAAAAGTTATAGGTATCACTATAAGAACTACTCCGTAGACAAGCTTCAGTTCTCATTCTAGACTGAACTACATACCACATCTCTGCTCCAGACACTACGTCTTCTCAGACATGGACAATACTTGTAGACCTTGGCTAGTAATTCAAGATTTCAATAAATTGAGGCTTCTTCCTTATATTTATAGCGATCCTACCGTATATTTCTGTTAGGATCGATCACTGTTACAATAATATTGCGTAAAAACGTTCACAAAAGTTCGTTTAAACTTCAATTTCGTACGTCACGATTACGTCGTGCAGACTGAACATCCCATCACTATTACCGTAAACCGAAGAGTGAATGTTGAATGGCCAATGTTAGTTTAACCCGTTGCTAATTTTACCCGTTGCTAATTTAACCCATTGTTAATTTAACCCGTTGCTATAATTTAACCCGTTGCTAATTTTGGGGTCGTTGTTAATTTAGCCCTATGTTAATTCAACCCGTTGCTGATTTAACCCGTTGCAAGTTTAACCCGATGCCAGTATAACCTCCAGTTTTCAATTTAAGCCGTTGCCAGTTTGAGCCGTTGACAGTATAAAGGTTAGAAATCGTTAGTTATTTTTATTGTAATGCGAGGCGATAATATTCGTTAACAAATGGATTATAATTCCAAATTTTTAATGTAATTTTAGTTTAGAGTTCACCGGAAGAAATGTGCGGAATGCTAAGGTTCGTTGATTATTGTTGCGTGGAAAGCCGGAGCGGGGGTATGTGCTACGTTAGGTTGTGAATATGTAAATATATAGGTGAATAGATTTGATGTGGACAAATTGTGTAAATATTTAGGTTATATATTTATAAATGCGTTAAATTCTTAGTTTACTATTGTTTATATTTTTAATTTCTTTATTTTTAGGAAAGCCTCAAATGGAGATTTAGCCTCAAATAAATAGTTGGACTCATACCACAAGCGAAGCACCCAAAATGAAAGCTGTGAAGCGTCAATGTGCTGATATTATTCTTTGTTGTATATTTAATTTGTTCATTTAAAAGAGTGGTGAAATAAAGTGTTTTAATTTGGATTTATCAGTGACTTAAACCTATGCGATCATGTAGGTTAGTTTGGTTTAGGAGCCCAGACAACAGTTTCCAGTTTAACTCCATGTTGCCAGTTTATCTTTCCGTTAACAGTTTAACCCTTTTTTGCCAGTTCAACTTACCGTTGCCAGTTTAACCCCCATTACCTCCCAGTTTGCCTCCTTTCTTCCCTCCCGTTGCCAGTTCACCCCTCCCTCTCGTTGCCAGTTCACCCCTCCCTCCCGTTACCAGTTCACCCCTCCCTCCCGTTGCCAGTTCACCTCTCCCTCCAGTTGCCAGTTCACCCCTCTCTCCAGTTACCAGTTCACCCCTCCCTCCCCTTGCCAGTTCACCCCTGCCTCCCGTTACCAGTTCACCCCTCCCTCTAGTTACCAGTTCACCCCTCCCTACAGTTGCCAGTTCACCCCTCCCTCCAGTTACCAGTTCACCCCTCCCTCCAACCCCTCCCTACAGTTACCAGTTCACCCCTCCCTCCCGTTGCCAGTTAACCCCTCCCTACAGTTACCAGTTCACCCCTCCCTCCCGTTGCCAGTTCACCCCTCCCTACAGTTACCAGTTCACAGTGGCGGCCACTCACCACTTCAAGGCTGAGCTAATGATGCTTGGTCATCGCCGATGCCTTTAATTTCCTTCCCCATGAACCTGATTGCAAAAATAATTTGCTCCAGAGTTTAATTCGCAGTTTAACGTTGCTGGCGACGTTGGCCGTTAGCGACAATGAGTTGGAATTGTGACCTGCAGTTGGACATACGAAATCGGATCTCTGTGGATGCTTGGTTTGATCAAAGAACGTTCTTGTGTAATTAAAAATTAAATTTGTTGTAGTCTGATGAGATTAGCATTGTTGTTCTATTTATTTTACTAAAAATTTTTAGGTATTGAAATTATATAGGTAGTTTCGCTTCACAGAACAACACGTGATCATGTCGTAATTCAAATATTAATTCATTGTCTTCCAAATTACGGAAAGTTCATCCGTCACGTCATGCCACGGAACTCACGACCATTTGTTCTTTAAGTCTGATTAATCCTCGTGCGCTAGGGCCCGCGGGCAGAGACCCAGTAATTTTGTATATGGAGCGTAGTTATCCCGCTACATATTTTTGGTGGCCAGTATGGGGACTCTGTCTGTCGTGGCGGTCGTATCGTGGAACAGCCAGCGAGTGTGACTGCGTCTTCTTTATGTATAGCTCCATCCCCTGCGTCATCCGACCTCAAGCACTCAATTATTGATAACCTAATTGGCCCAGTATCTGAAAGGTTTAAAAAATCGTGATGACTTCGCAATTGTTGGGGCTGCTTTCGCGCTGGATTTTGGACATTCAGGCCGTTATTGCAGAACTGCAACGCGAGAGTGCATCCTTCAACGGATATTCTCTTCCTACTTCGGCACCGAATCTCCGGCGTAATTGTGATGGCGGTCAGCGCTTAAAGTGGACAAAGACCTTAGTCTTTACTAACTCCAATCGCAAAAACTGCAATAAATGCGGAGTGCGGGGTCACACTTCGGCGAAGTGTTTGAGCGAAGAAGAGTGTTTCCTCTGCTGTAATCGTGATCACCGGCTCGGGAAGTGTCCAGAACTAGCGGCCCCTCTCTTTGAGTTTGAGGATGAACCAGTTTCTTACCGGGAAACTTCGGATAACCCTGACGTGCTTGCAACTTGCTCAAGGAGAGCCCCACTTAGCGATTCTGGAAACTTGCCCATCGCTGCTTCTGCTTCGGAAGTGTACCCTCTTCTTGACATGGAGTGTCCCCCGACGGCGGCAGTCACGAAGGAAGCAACGGTTACAGCATCCATGCCAGTTTTTTCTCCACCATTGTCGTCTAGCTTGTTAGCGACGGTTCTGCCACCACCTCCGGCGGATTTCGAACCATGCAGATCCTCATGGTTGGCATGCGCTCCCCTATTGGGTTCTCCCGTTGGCAACGCTGGGGGTACGTCATCGGAGCCAGGTCTGCGCCTGGTTGCTGCAGCTTGTGATCCTGGTCTTGGCAGTGAACCGTCCCGCAGCGGACGACAACCACTATGCTCAACGTACGATGGTACTTCTACTGACACGGAGAGTGGGCCAGCTCTAGCCGGTTGCAATCTGCTAAATTATCAGGACTACAGCGATGGAGACTATTCCTCGGATAGCACGTCCAACTCGTATGATAGTGTCGTTGGTGGTTGATAGGGTCGTTGGTTGATAGGGTCGTTGGTGGCAGAGGAACGAGGCGACGACGGCGGCGGCGAAGAGAGGGTTCGTTGGGGTCTACCTCGTTCAGGACGATGCAGATGACTCGGCACGAGACCCTCAAAGATTATGCAAAACGGCTTGAAGAAGCCTTCCTGCAAGACTACCCCGGAAAATCTGCCGGTACAAGCCGCCGACTTCGAGATCAATTCTTGGCTACTTATCATCATGAATTCGACAAAGATGTTTCTTTTCTCGTGGGGCTAAAGTATGATAAATTTGACTGGCGAAGTGTGAGAAAATGCATTTCAATGTACTGTACTTGAAAATTGGGATGTATAGAATTATTCACATCAGATTTGCCATTTCATTTCGAGACTTGTGTCTATTGTTTAGTGTATTCTCAGCGTGTCGTCTAGTTCGCCATTTTGTATAAACTCCATGTAGGCGAAATTTGTCAGTGGTGCGTCGTCTTAGGGGGGGAGGAATGTAGCGAGCCAGCCTTGGCCGCGCTTAAAACGCTGTTAGTTTTATTCAGCCGCCGCACCTCTCTGACACAGACTAAGGAGAAAAAGTTAGAGTAGATAGTGTTCTCGAGAAGCAACTGATAGGAGTAGGCAGCCTACCTTTGCCTGACTCACCACCTTATAATGTCTGTACATATTTGTATATGATGTTTGTAAATTATCTGCATTCGTGAACCTAGCTGCATTTAGTGTAAAGTCTATTGTCGTCCCTGTGGTTTCTCTATGTAATTCAAATATACGTTGTGGCCTATGAAACTTCGCTGATGAAGTCTGATTAATCCTCGTGCGCTAGGGCCCGCGGGCAGAGACCCAGTAATTTTGTATATGGAGCGTAGTTATCCCGCTACAACATGTTCGCTTCTGATCGAAATGCCGAATTCACGATCACATATTCGTCCGTGATAGAAATGACGCACCCATGATCAATTATTGTGCATTTCTTGCCACGGACACGGACTTCTCGCATACCTGTTATCACTTTCGTCATCCAAGGACGATGATGTATCAGGTTCTGCTAGTCAGACATTTCCAGTAACTTCCAGTATAGCTGCTATGTTGGCTTCCTGCTTTCCGCGGGCCGTTTATGTGTTTGTTTCCGCATATCACTTATTTAATTGATTTAGCCTTCAAATTAACTCGGCAAAATCAAATTATTTCATAGGCCTCCATTATCAGTCTACTGGTAAAATAAGTGAACCAATTTCATTGATGGCTCGGATTTGCGAACAAGAATTTGCCATTTCACTTCCTGCTTCGCCGTCCGGGAATTGCATGACTCTCATGCACTTACGCGCATGAGGGGCGCGTGAGAGGCGCGTGAGAAGCGCGTGATAGGCGTGTGAGGGGCGCGTGAGGGGAGCGTGAGGGGAGCGTGAGGGGCGCGTGAATGGTGCGTGAGTGTTGCGTTTGAGGTAAGTTAGGGGCGTTTTAGAGGCACGTTAGGGTTGCGTTAGGGGCGTGTTAGAGGCGCGAGGGAAGTGCGAGGGAAGATCCGTTAGGCACTGGAACTTGAGGAACGCGAGGGCACGCGATGTTAGGGGATAAGAACGTTTACGTGCTGAACGGGTTTACGTGCTGAAATGTACTTAGTTCGCTACGTGTACTTAGGCCGTTACGTTTACTTAGGCCGCTACTCATACTTAGGCAGCTACGTGTACTTGGCCGTTAGGTATACTTAGGCCGTTACGTGAACTTAGTTTGCTGTGAGGTACTTAGGTCGCTACGTATACTTAGACCGCTACGTATACTTAGACCGCTACGTTTACTCTGGCCGTTACGTGTACTCCGGCCGTTACGTAGTCTTAGTCTGTTACGTGTACTTAGGCCGCTACGTGTACTTGGCCGTTCATTATTTTAAGTCTGCTACTTGTACCTAATCAAATTCTTTTTATCGCATTTTAGCTTGGAATTAACCCCCGCCCCAGTAGCTAATCTTGGATTACTCCCAAGAACGTTGCCTCACCTATAGGAATTAGTTTATACAGATAAAAATTTTCCTTTAACCGTGGAAACTGATAGCCGAGGCTTGTTGACTGCTTCAATTTTACCCAATACCCCAATAGGTTGGCCCAGTATTTGCAGTTGAATCCAGAGTAATGTGATTTTTTACATAATTACTACCAATTTCTTCCACCATAATAAATACACGCTGAGTCTCATAGACAAGAAAGGCTTTATAACAGGAAGGCACTATAGCAAAACTTCCCCATTTCTTAATAAAAAAATCACCGTTCAACTCCTGTTCTTCTCAATGAATTTCCATACCGATAAAGACAATCGGTTGCAGGTTGGGGACTTCCTGTTCATTAAGAACGCTTCGACGAGATCGTTCGGTAAAATCCCAGCCAGAAGAAGGATGTTTGACGCCACATGTTGCTGCTTCAAAATCAACACTCGCATCCGGAATTCGTGATTATCTTTAACGTTGGCGTCACAACGGCGGTTGTGTGAACAATATTGATTTCCTAGTGTACGCGTCACAACGAATCTCTTGCGTAACCCAGCACCGGCCGGCACCATTGAAAAATAACGTTTTTTTCGCGGCTTATTTGAGCCGGATATATCCAGTACATGTTGGGAATGTCCTAATATAGCATAACGTTTGGGGTTCCTGTTATTCATTATGGCTGGTAACAACTGTTAAATTTTTTATTGTTTCCGAAATTTACCAGAAATCTTTCTCGCGTCTTCTTTTGAAAAAATTTTTCTCATCTTAGCCGTAGATTTAGCGATACAACTTCATAAAAAAATTTGTATCGAGAGCTTCACGGTTCATGTGAGAGGGAGAAAGTATGGGGAATCAAAAAAGGGAAAACTTTGCAAAATAACAAAATTATTTTGGGTTATTCCAATAATCCGATTACGGTGCTCATTTCCGGTACAGGTTCCCGAAATTTCCAACTGTTACCGTTCGTTGGTCATATTCGCATTACCAACATGTCTATTGCAAAGAAGTTACTCTTTTCTCTGCTACCATATAGCAAATATTTAGTTACTTTTACTGTTTTCTTTGATCGTTATAAATACAACAACCTAAATTATGGCCTGAGCTTATATCGCTATTTTAATGCTGGTATGTATATATGTATTAATATAATACTCTTGAGATGTTTCGTTTTTTACAGCTGTTACCATTCTTATAGTGAAATAACCGCTAAGGTTGTATTCATATTTTATCATATAACTGTTATTCTTTTCTTTTTATATTGTCCCCTTCATAATTATCTCGTCTCTTTGTTATCTCTGCATTATCTATTGTCCAACTAACGTCACTCTGAACTACTGCCATTATTGCATCAAGGTAATACATGGCAGCGCTAGCCTTCCTTACTAACCAATGCCTCCACTAATGCCTCCACTAATGCTTCCACTAATGCCTCCACTAATGACTCCACTAATGCCTCCACTTATGCCTCCACTAATGCCTCCACTAATGCCTCCACTAATGCCTCCACTAATGCCTAAATGCCTCCCCTAATGCCTCCACTAATGCCTCCACTAATGCCTCCACTAATGCCTCCACTAATGCCTCCACTAATGCCTCCACTAATGCCTCCACCAATGCCTCCACTAATGCCTCCACTAATGCCTGATAACCTGTTAAAACTTAATGATCATTGATTATAATACTTATTCTCTAGTTAAGTTTGCAATAACGCGTTCAGATTGATATATAATCTAATTAATTAACACATTAAAATCAATACACTCGTTGCCGTCACGAAAACGAAATGACGAAAAAACATTTTCAACATTCTTAAATCTTGATTCGTACAAGATCTTTTCAATAAAATTCATATCACCACATTTACTTCACTATACAATATACCACGCAGGAAATTCAGTACACAGCGTGTGTTATTTCCCTCGTAGCAAGAAATCGTGGAAATCCCGCATAAGAAATGAAGTCGCCATGTTTGTGTAGGAAGCGCACCGGATAGCTGCGGCGGCAGAATGCTTCGAAGATAACAACATCAAATAACGATGGTTTAAACTGGGGAATCTTATTAACGAAGACAAAACATTTGAACGTCTCAATATTAAGTTAAAAATTGAACTTTTTTGTCATAAGTTCATTGGATCCATAATGGCTTAGAATGTACATTGTATGTAGATCATATGTAGAACCTGGCTTTTGTATGGTCGTCAGATGAATTACAAACTAAAGGAATAGAATTAAGTGATAAAATTGTATATTTTAATTTCCCCAAATTTGATCTTGCGCATATCATATTCAAATATTCTCATTCCACATTCTAGTTATAATAATTTCACATAATAATTATATAATAATTATAATTATTCACACATAACTCTTTGATATTCACATATCATATACTAATATTCACACGTCATTCTATTGTATTCACATATCATATACTAATATTCATATACCACTTTCTAATATTCACATGTCATATCAAGCTAATGACTTCACAAGGTATGGAACCGAGGCCATCCTTAACTAACGGGTTCCAATATTGAATATCCTGTAGAATATCCTGAGTGAACCAAGTAAATAATAAAATAATAACTTGGAGACCGGACGAACAACAGGTCGTAAGGTGAGTGCATGGTGAAGGATTAATACTTGACTATGCAACATAAGATTCGTATTTAAACCTGTTCCTGTGACGTCAGCAAGGTTTGATTGTTGCTGAGTTACGGCATGTACAAGCCAATTCCGGCCAATTAAAAAGCGTGCATTATTTTTATTACATATCGAGACGGCATAAATGACTGCAAGATTGTATTTCTACACCGCGTGAGTGGGGGCCATTGTAGTGTTGTTCCCACCAGCATGTATGGTTCTCGTTGTCGGCTAGTGTTACGATTTTCCCGCTAGAAAAAGACATATCAAGTATTTTTAGTCTGGTCTGTATTGGAGAGTTGGTAATGTTTTCGTTATTTTTGTATTTTGATCTTTTTGAACTGAAAATGCGGTTATGTTGTCTGGTCCTACATGATACCTCACATGTGCTGGTCCTACATGATACCGCACATGTGCTGGTCCTACATGATACCGCACATGTGCTGGTCCTACATGATACCGCACATGTGCTGGTCCTACATGATGCCTCACATGTGCTGGTCCTACATGATACCGCACATGTGCTGGTCCTACATGATGCCGCATATGTGCTGGTCCTACATGATGCCGCATATGTGCTGGTCCTACATGATGCCGCATATGTGCTGGTCCTACATGATACCGCACATGTTCTGGTCCAATTTTTCCTTTTCATTCACCAAAAATTTTTCGAAGTTATTTCAATATTTCCACATTCATTTTTATCGCTGCTTCAACGTTTTCTCCGACGTTTTTCCTTGAATTTTTCTCTCGTTCAAATAATTTTTGCATAATTTATAAAAATTTATATTGTTCGGAATTCTTTATGAATTTATTTTCCTACTTTTGCATTTCAATAAATTTTGATTTACAAACATTTTCCATATACGTATTTAATGTTGGAACTATGTGTGGTTTCTGCACACACCTTTCATAAAATTTCAACGATTTTTAGAAATTTTTCGTTTCATTTTCATTTTTTATAGGATCGTTATACATTTTCATTATTCTCATGCAGTGTATAAACATCATTCAAAACTTTTTTTACAAGAATTACAAATGATTTGTTATTTCACTATGAATTAAATGTTTCCTGACGTGATATTTTAATTTAGTTCATATTTTTAGGTTGCTTGAAATTAAAAAATTAGCTTGTATGTTTTTTTCAAATTCGATTGTAGCCAATCGCTGCGTCCATCCTATTTCAAATTCAGCCTGGGTAAACCTGTGCGTCTGATTGACAACGTAAGGGCTAAAATTATCAATGTATGTGCACGGAAGTAGTTTCTGCTTTCACATTGCTGGAAACGATTATCAAAGTTGGGTTTAATTCGAGTAATTTTAATTTAATTCGAATTTTAAATCGTGTGAATTTTTAGTGAACTTTTCCACGTGAGGGGTACAGAATAGGCTGGTGTTCGAAGGGGTACAGAAACGACGTATGTCTTGCAACAATCATTAAATTAACTGCTCTCACAATTATTAACACAATTATCAACAAAAAATACCAACAATACTATCAATTAAGACGAAAATTTTTATATACAACTAAAATTCTAAATAACATTGTCCTGACTTTTGACCGTCATTTGCCGACGCTGTGCCGGCCAAATCTTCCCATGCTGGAAGCTAAACAAATAATTTATCATAGTTTTTAAACGTGCAAAAAATTCCTGAAGCCAACGCAACGTAATAAGGTGAAATGAGAAGATTAGTTAGGTAGCTGCCCTCATAAAAGTATTTAAAGTTGATTAAATGAAATGGTTTAGTTGAATTCGACATCTTGTCAACAACAATTCTACCAGACAACTTGACAACAATCCGACCTTAAAGTCAAACTTAATATAAAATTTTTGACGTTATTTGTTCAACTGGTAGTAGGTCTGAATGGGGGTTTCGACATTCGTAAAAATGGCCATGATCTTGTCACAGTGCAATGAGTTGATACTTCACTTTACTTTTGAAGTTTGCTGTCATGATTGACAGCAAACCTCATCGTGTAGAAATCGTGAGCGCATCAAAGTTTGTCTCTTACCAAGTTCGGTTAGTAGGAAATATTTTTGAGCCAACAACCAATTAAGTTACAGGAGAAGTTTACGCATCAAAGATACTAAACGATCAAGTTTGAGAGAATAGTTTACGCATCAAAGATACTAACCAATCAAGTTTGAAGAAAAAGTTTATGTATCAAAAATATTTGACAATCATGAGGACAAAGTTTGCGTATCAAAGATACTAATCAATTGTCGCGGGAAAAGTTTATGTATCGAAGATACTAAGCATCCAAATTTAAGGGAAAAGTTTACGTACCAAGGATAATTACCAATCAAATGGTGAAGTAGTTTACGTATCAAAAAAGAAAAAAAAAGTTCGAGGGGAGTGGTTTACGTATGAAAGATACTAATTTATCACATCTACGTTAAGTAGTTAAAATACTAGCCTCTATCACTAGCCGCGCTAAAGACACACTAACATGCACATGTCTAAATTAGTTCGTTCTCATTACCTTTTAGGCAGCAGGTTTTGGAATAAATTTAAATCTAAAAAATTAATTACCAAATTATTTTGAATCTGGACACATATATTCATGCATCAACAATAAACAAAACATTATGGTATGCAATTCTCAAATTTATGCAAGTTTGATTGAAGACCAGAGCATGCTTCTTATTAACAATCTTCTTGTTCTTTTTTTCAATGAGTCGAACCAAATTTCTTGCTGGCGCCGGGAGATCGAAAAGCTGGTTTCCGAATGACATTTTAATAGATTGCGACGTTTCGAAAATACAATTTTCATTATCAAGCTGGTGAAGATAATGTTTTATGAATTAATTAAGGTAATATTAATTATTAATTATTAAGGTGAAGGTAATTATGCGATGCCCCGACCCATCGAGACTGACGATAGCTGAGGCCCTCATTATCAAGAGCGAGTCTCCAGCTATCAACCTCCAAACTACAGGATTTGTCCGGACGCTGAAATTATTTTCAGAGTAATTTTAAGCTAATATCTTAAAATTTTATCCACTATACCATTCATATGTACTTCTGTCATTCCCAAAATTTAATTTCAAGTGTTGTAAAACCGTCACCAGCTTGATAATGAAAATTGTATTTTCGAAACGTCGCAATCTATTAAAATGTCATTCGGAAACCTGCTTTTCGATCTCCCGGCGCCAGCTAGAAATTTGGTTCGACTCATTGAAAAAACGAACAAGAAGATTGTTATTAAAAAAGCATGCTCTGGTCTTCAATCAAACTTGCATAAAAGAGAAGCTTCTGCCGAACTACACCAATACTCAAATTATAGATCTGGCAAGATGAAAATTGATATTGTATAAAATTTTGATTCGCATACCTCCAGCACCCAAACTGAACACTTCCTATCACATATGACAGAATACACATGTTTATTATCCTGTATATTCTGTCGTTGAATATTCTATTGTAACACAAACAACCTATACAACCTATTTTGCTTACTGTAAATAATTGGCAACTCTGAGGAATTAGTGGAACTGTCAAATAGCGATGCACTATTGCCAGAGGCCATATTTTCAAAATTCGCTAAGTGCACGTAAGTACTTACGCTCTATTTTCTTGTCTATGATTGGTGGATTTCGCTTGAAAGGCCGTCAATGATTGGCTGATGAACTTACGATCTCTTAACTTTTTTTGAAAGTATAGGCCCAGGTGTCCTGACACAGTCTGGACCAACAATAGAACGTATCAGTGCTACGTCCACACTCTGCTCATGCTGTGGGTAATGAAGTGTATATATTTGGACCATAATACCCATTTATTTGTTTGAGTGTAGTTTGGTGTAAACTCATCTCGTCGCATGGGGTGCGTTCACTTGTCATGATTTGTCCGGATTTTGAGAAGTCAGCTAAATTACACCTCATTATTTCAACGTTGCTAGCTTATTTATGTTCCTACAAGCCTAATATTCAGAGCCACCGATAAACCAGCCATAATATCTGCCCTCGATTAGCCGAACTTACAGCGGCCACCGATAAGCCGGCAACTCAGTGGGCACCTTTTCACCTTTTATTCAGTGGTTATGATAACAGGTCATTGGGGACTAAAGATAAGTTATCTATTCAGCGGCCGTCGATAAACCCAGCCCATCAGTGGCCACCAATAAGTCAGCTACACAGTGGCCACCGATAAGTCAGCTACACAGTGGCCACCGATAAGTCAGCTACACAGTGGCCACCGATAATTCAGCAACACAGTGGCCGCCGATAAGTCAGCTGTACATTGGCCACCTATAAGTCAGCTACACAGTGGCCACCGATGAGTCAGCTGTACAGTGGCCGCCGATAAGTCAGCTACACAGTGGCCGCCGATAAGTCAGCTACACAGTGGCCACCCATAAGTCAGCTACACAGTGGCCACCGATCAGTCAGCTACACATTGGCCACAGATAAGTCAGCTGTACAGTGGTCACCGATAAGCTTGTCATTCAGTGACCAAAACATATTCCCTGCCACCCCAGTTGCTCAGACGGAGGCCTCCTCTATGACTGTGATGTGTCGGCAGGGAGGGAACTTATTGCTGTAGCTGCTGCACTCTGCAGGCTGACCTCCTGCAGCAGAAGAGGCCTCGCTGCCACCTGCTGCAGGAGCGGTGGCCGCATCCTCCAGCTGGTCCATGGAAGAGGACGTATTTCTTATAGAGCCTCCTGCTCTGATGGACAGTGTCCTTCTTAACCGGCTGAGTCGTCGCTCGTTATTGATTGTTACGTTGTCCCCGGTGCGCATTAATATGTTGTTCCGCCTTTCATTATTTATTGAAGTGTTGTCACTGGTGCGTATTAATGCGCTGCCTCGTTTCTCACTATTAAATGATGCGTTGTCACCGGTGCGTATTAATGCGCTGTTCCGTCTCTCGTTATTCAGTGGTGCGTTTGCTCGCCTTTCGTTGCTGAGGGCTCCGTTGTCACCGGCCCGAATAATGAGATTATTTTCATACTCGCTTCTCATTAAATAATTCTCGACCTTATCGCAGGACGTGATGCAGTCGCCGAGGTAGTCGAGCTCCTCCAGCAGGTGGTCGGGCAGGTCCATGTCTGCTATGCCCTCCTCAGAGATGCAGGTCAGTTCTGCCTTGTTCCGGCCGCCGTGCACCTGCTGGACAAACGCTATTACAGTTAGCACTACCTGAGTTATTTGATTATTGAATGTGAATATGTATAATTTGCGACGCACATGACAAGTATCGTGAATATCGCTGAGGATTCGTTTAATAAATTTAGATGTAATGTACTTTACAGATGTAAATTGATTTAGATGTAAATGCGAAGTATGTTCGGCGAATGTTTTAAAGAACAGATTTAGGACGGGAATGTCCTCTTCCAAAGTACCTTTATAAAATGTTTACATTATTGTTCTCAACTGAGAAATTTTAATGGTCAATAATTTTGAAACATTGTTGATATGTGCTAGTTGCATAATGTATATAATATTAGTGGCATTAATTAGTCGCTGTGCCGAGTGCACCAACAGTCTGCATACCACCAGTCATATGACGCCCATTTACGCGCTATAACTTCCTAGGGGCCTTGACAATTTGCAGTTAAATACGTATAATGATGAGCAACTGGAAAAAAAGTAAAAAATTCATTTGTAATACGAAAACTTTACTATCCGTCACCTCGGGGAGTGTGGTGAAGTTGCGGGGGTTGTGGATGAGGGAGGCGAGGCTGGGGGGATGAGTGCCCCCCAGTACAGGGTCGGGGTCCAGCCCCGCAAGGGAGTCGCGGCGGGGGCGCAGAGAGTTGGGGCAACCGCGTCTTGCGCAGGTGTGACCCATGCCTGACCTGTGCGTGTTATAGGCGTGTTACAGGCGTGTTATAGGCGTGTTGCAGGCGTGTTATGTGCGTGTTGCAGGCGTGTTATGTGCGTGTTACAGGCGTGTTATGTGCTTGTGGCAGGCTTGATTTTGACACGGTACACAATTTTTATGGACGTGATACATGCACACATGTCATTGGCGAGTTAGGGAAGAATTATTGGCGTGTTGAAGACATGGCATTGATTGCCATAACATAAATTTGCATAGGAGTCACAAGACTTGGTTTAGTTTTCCTACGTTTCCTTGGGTATTTGATAGAAACTAGCTTCCGGTCACAATCTCCATTACAACTTTATTGTCATCTGAAAGTAGAATAAATGTGGCTGCACTTCATGCCCGGCCGAAGCGGACATGAGCGGCTGATTTACGTGCTCCCCGAGTCTTGGGCGGCGCCTGTTGCAGAGTCTGACCCGTATCTAAATTTCCAGTGGGTAACGTGTTATAGGCACGATTTTGGCATGTCATTGGTGCGTCATAGGCTCGTTATTGAACCTGTAATTAGTATGTGTTACAATCGTGTGATTGGCTTGACTGGATATTAGCGTTATAGAAGCGTATTATTTGGGCGTTATTATCAGGTTTATATCGTGTCTCCCATAATTCACACGCTATATCAAGGCACCTGCAACGTAACACAAGCACTACAAAGTAACACTGAGCAAGACAGAGCAATACAGCACTACACAACTCATACAGGGCAACACACGCACTTGTGTGAGTGGCGGTGGCGGGCGGCATGCCGGCGGTGTACGTCGATCAAAAAGAACGTCATCGAGCCGACGATGATGAAGCTCGACGAGAAGTAATAGCCTGCCTTGTGGCCGCACTCCACGTTGATGTAACCTGCGGTGACGACGTAGCAGAATACGCACAATACCATTTTCCCTCATTTACATTAAATTAATACTACGGAAGCAATCAAATCAATTAATTTCTTTACCAATTACGATATCAATAATTTGTCAGCGGTGCAGACGCGTCAGAATACACACACTACTATTTTCTATAATTTGCATTAAATTTATACTACGGCATCAATTAAATCAACCAATTTCGTTACCAATTACGATATCAAATAATTGGTCAAATCGTTTCCGACTTTACTCCGGTTTCTTCAATCCTTCCTCTATTCTCCCGCCCTTCTCTTCACTAGATGATATATAGAATATATATGAGAGATGATATATCAATATACTCGTATATCAGATGAATATGAGACCCACAGGGTTCACTCGTCATCTGCATCATTCAGTGTATTCATTCATTCGTACCATTCATATCATTCATATAATTCATATAATTCATTCATTCATTATTGATATCATTCCCTTCACACATCTACATCATTCACTGCACTAAATACCAAGCCATTACCCACCTGTGATGGGCACCCCGAGGGCGGTGGGCAGAGCCTGCGTGCACTGCACGAAGCCCCACGTACGAGCGAAGTTACGTGCTCGTACCTTCTCGTACGTGAACATCTTGAGCGCGTAGTGGAACCCGCCGCAGAAAATCCCGTACAGCCACGAGAAGAGCACGTAGCCTGGGTAACCTGGCACGTGGGCACGTGTTAGAAGAACGTGGGCACGTGTTAGAGGAACGTGGGGACGTGTTAGAGGCACGTGGGCACGTGGTAGAGGAACTTACATATGTCAAAAATGATACAAAAAAGAAAATTATCCGGAGGACGTAAACGAGTTATCTGATATTAACGACCTGAAACTACAGTTCAGGCCAGCCAAGCGACCTACCCTACACCGCAGCGCAGGCCAGAAAGGCGACCTACCCTCAGGTCTAACCTCAAACGCGGTGCAGGCCAGGCAGGCAACATACCTTCAGGCTAGGCAGGAAATCTACCCTCCACCGCCGTGAAGGCCAGGCAGGCGACCTACCCTCCCCCGAGGTGAAGGCCAGGCAGGTGACCTACCCTCCACCGCCGTGAAGGCCAGGTAGGCGACCTACCCTCCACCGAGGTGAAGGCCAGGCAGGTGACCTACCCTCCACCGAGGTGAAGGCCAGGCAGGCGACCTACCCTCCACCGAGGTGAAGGCCAGGCAGGTGACCTACCCTCCACCGCCGTGAAGGCCAGGCAGGCGACCTACCCTCCACCGCCGTGAAGGCCAGGCAGGTCACACCACACAGGAACATGGCGGCCTGCAGCAGGTACTGCAGGCCGACTCTGCAGTCTGCGCTGCGATGAACCGTCAGGAACCCGAAGCCCAGGCAGCCTGCGAACCAGCCCAGCCCGAGGTAGGTCTGCAGCAGCAGGACAGACCCTTCCTGCAGGCCGGCCTGTTCAGCGTGCTGTGCCTGTGGGGGAAGGCGATAAGGGATAGAGGATAATGTGTGGATATAACGCGAGAGATCAGGGATTAAATAAACGAGTATACAAATACCGTTAATTGAGAAGGGTTTTTATTAAGTGACTCAACCATCACAATGTGCTGAGTCATATTCACCATAAAAAGTATGGGTGTGGTGACCCACCATATAAAGTATGGGCGCTACAACCCACCATATAAAGTATGGGCGTTATAACCCACCATATACAGTGGGGGGAAATAAATATTCGTACACTTGAAAAATCGTATTTTAATGTATGTAAGTACACAAACTTAACAGGAAAAGTGATTTAAATTATGTATAGAGACGCATAGTATTCAAAAATACTATCAAAAGAAATAAAATCTCAATGCAACAAAAAACAATGCAACATGTTCACTTTTCNGTGACCACCATATAAAGTATGGGCGCTACAACCCACCATATAAAGTATGGGTGTGGTGATGCCGAAGCTGGACAGGCTGGTCGACACTAGAAGGATCTGGATGGTCCTGCTCCTGAGTGTGGTGACGTCGAAGAAAGGCATCTGGTCGGCCTGCCTGGCCTTCTCTTTAACCTTCCTCTTCTGGTTCTTGAGGTGCAGGATGGCCCTACGCTGGGGGTGGTAGAGGGAGGCTGACCTGTAGAAGGTCCCCATCAAGAAGGTTAGGAAGACCACGCAGGTCACGGCCTGCAGACCCAGCCGCCAGCCCAACGAACTGCACGAAAAAAGGCATTACCAACAACTGACGTTTAAATAACTTTAATTTAATGTTGTTGTTTCGGAGATATTAACAATAATAAACGTTGTTATAACGACAGCGTTGGACAACAGGGAGCGTTAGACAAAAGAAAAGCTGCTCTATCGCGTGTTATAACCTTTCTCTTCATTGCCTATAACAGCGCCAGTGTCAAAATGCGCTTCAGTTCATTCATTATTAAGAAATATAGTTCTGTGCATCATAGGCGACAATTTCTGCAATTATCACCTTCTGCAATTATGTATTATTATTATTTACTTGGTATTTATTATTATTATTATTTGTTACTCTTATTATCATTTAATACTAATTTTTTATCATAATTTATGAGCAGGTTAGTCCGGCGTTACCTTAACTTAATGATGGTTAATGATCTGATTGTTCCACGTGACAGATGAAACTGAATTAGTTACGTATGCTGTTAAGAAAAATGGTATATATATTCTGTTAATTATCATGCACCCAGCTGGCGCAGGACGTTGAAAAAACGTTGAGTAAACGTTATTCAAGCACTAGCACTGTGAAATCGACGTTTTTTCATGTGCCTACAAGGCGGTAGGCTTCATTCACTTCAATTTATGTTTTTTTTTGCACCTGCTTCACCGTGTTGTGATTTTGTGAAGGAAACATTCATGAGTTCCCACAATCTCCTCTTCAATAATTGTGATATATTGCCTTGCTATTGTTCGCATTGATATTATTACTCGTCTTGTTGTATTGATTTTATTATATGTATTTTTATTATTGTACCATAAGAACCTCGGACCCGTCGCTCTCTGATACGCCGGGCATGAATAATGCAAGAGCGCATGATAGCGGGGCCCGAGTGGGGCCGGTGGACGGTCCCGTGGACTGGGTGGGCTGGTGTACGGTCCCGCGCACTGGGTGGGCCGGTGTACGGTCCCGTGCACTGGGTGGGCCGGTGTACGGTCCCGTGGACTGGGTGGGCCGGTGTACGGTCCCATGGACTGGGTGGGCTTGTGTAATGTCTCGTGGACTGGGTGGGCTAGTGTAAGGTCCCATGGACTGGGTGGGCTGGTGTAAGTCCCAGTGCACTCAATAACGCCAGCAGCACGCAGCTCCTAGGAGTCCATTGCTCACCTGACGGCGCCCCTGACAAAGGCGGACATGGCGGAGATGCCGAGGCCGCTGCCGCCGACCACCAGCACCTCGACGGCCTCCCGCCGCCTCTTGAAGTATTGGCCCACCATCAGCGTGGACGAGTCCCGGGTCAGCCCGACGCCAATACCTGCGGGGACACACGGGCTGTGCAGACTGGGACATGCAGGGAGTGAAGAGGGAACTGGGACACTAGAAGAGTGAGAGGAGAACTTGGACACTAAAAAGAGTGGAGGGGGAACTTGGACACTAGAAGAGAAGAGTGGAGGGGGAACTTGGACACTAGAAGAGAAGAGTGGAGAGGGAACTTGGACACTAGAAGAGTGGGGGGGTAACTGGGACACTAGAAGAGTGAGAGGAGAACTTGGGCACTAGAAGAGTGAGGGGGGGGGGGTAACTGGGACACTAGAAGAGTAGGGGAACTGGGACATTATGTCGATGGTCAAACTAAACCCTCACCTACGACGGTACCATAGCTGAAGAAGAGCTGATGGTGCCCTCACCTACGACGGTACCATAGCTGAAGAAGAGCTGATGGTACTGTCTGGCGAAGGAGGTGAAGAGACAACCGAGGGCGGTGACGAGGCCCCCGATGACGGCGGTGAGACGCGTGCTCTTCCTCCTGCAGATGGCGATGGTGAGGGGCGATATGAGCAGCGCCAGTGACGTCGACATGGCGCCCAGCACGCCTGCCCAAATGAAACAATTCTTCTAGAAACAAATCTTTGGAGATTTTTAGTACCTTTAATTAAGAGACGGTAATCATGTTAATTGCGTTTCTCCAATGATAATCTGAAATTCCGCAGTCAGGGAGCCGGACGCGGTAGAACATGCATGCCTATCCCAACGATCGCACCAGAGCAGTCCCAAGACCGTAAACAGGCAGGCATGTCCAGTTACCGTGACTTTCGCGTATGCCTGCCCAAATGGTCGCACCAGAGCCGCCGCAAGGCAGTAAGGCCGGCATGTTCAAGTCACTGTAATATTCGCTCATGCCTGCCATAACGGCCATACCAGAGCAGCGTCGAAGCAGTAAATAGGCCGGCATGTCCAAGCTATCAAAACTTTTATGCTAGCCGGCGAGAAAACGGCTAAGGCCATAACTTTGGGCAAGCTATTTTAATTCGTCATTGACGGCCTATAGTTCGACCTGTTGATCGCTAATTGGCCTGCGTCGAATGGCTTTGACGCGGCTACAATTTTGAACTGGAATGTGAAGAGAGTGTTTCTTACTACGTTAAGTCACTCGGTGGACTTCGGAACTTGCGTTTTTTTGTGTTAATTGTATTAACTTTGCTTTTATTTTAAAAAAATATAGAGATTACTTCGTGCGAACAAACATAAATGCTTGTGTATTTATAAATACGCATTAAAATCCCCGCTATAATCTCACGACATTATCGCAAGCAAAGGCCTTGTTTGGCGGCAAAATATCGGTATTCTACAAGAGGCTCCATCTTTCCCTTGATTTATTTTACGTCATTTGAAAAACATGAAGAACGTGCGATGCATTTTTTGTGACGCATTTTCAGCTGCTGCGGGAGATCGTCCTTGTGCCAACGGGTGATTAAATCATGGACGTGTTATGGGCGGCCATGGACGTGTAAAAGACGGCTAAGGGGTGGCCAAAGAGCGGCCATAGAACTTGTTCCCCGGGGGGTAGAAACGTAAGTCATCTCTTGAAAAGAACAATACGCAACGTCTCGTAAAAATGATAGAGGGCATTAAAAGATTGATGACCGCAGCATGCGAGACGATTTAGGACGCTACTGGAGCCACACAGCAAATCTGTAAAACAATTCCTAGAGCATCGGCGTCCCTGTAGTAAAAGCGTCCCCGCTGTAAACGCGTCCCCGCTGTAAACGCGTCCCAGCTGTAAACGCGTCCCCGCTGTAAACGCGTCCCCGCTGTAAACGCGTCCCCGTAGTAAAAGCGTCCCCGCTGTAAACGCGTCCCCGCTGTAAACGCATCCCAGCTGTAAACGCGTCCCCGCTGTAAACGCGTCCCCGATGCAAACGCGTCCACGCTGTAAACGCGTCCCAGCTGTAAACGCATCCCAGCTGTAAACGCGTCTCCGCTGTAAACGCGTCCCCGCTGTAAACGCGTCCCCGATGCAAACGCGTCCCCGCTGTAAACGCGTCCCCGCTGTAAACGCGTCCCCGCTGTAACGCCAACGCTGGCCTTGCGTTAGCTGCAACGCCAACGCCAGCCTTGCGTTAGCTGCAACGCCAACGCTGGCCTTGCGTTAGCTGCAACGCCAACACCAGCCTTGCGTCAGCTGCAACGCCAACGCTGGCCTTGCGTTAGCTGCAACGCCAACGCTGGCGACTCCTCAAAGTCGTCGCCGCATTAGTCGCCGGGGACGCGTTTTAGCAACGCTTTGGTCGCCGCGTCTCGCCAGTGAAGCGAAAGTTGATATTGAGACATGATATACTGCCGTGATCTTCATATTACTGTTAATTACCATTCTTAATTTTAATAATATTGAACTAGATTATAAATGTTTAATATTATTGCGGTGATGTTAGTGGGTTCGAATCAATACCTTATAAGGATGCATAATCCATTATATTTGATGATGTTTAATACTATTTGCAGTTAACAAAATTGAAGTCTATGAAAAATTTATTGAATAATGCTCGTTCGCTTCCACATTAATAGATTATAACATAGAGATATTCAACGATTACTAAGTAGAATTTGCAATATTCAGAATAAAAATTTGATAAGATAATTTTAACTTTTTCATGTTAATCAAATACATCAAAGATAAAGTATATTTCTTAACTTCAACCAATCCTTTCCGTTATGGAATTTCAAAGAAAAAGTAAATTGTTGGGTCCTGTACTTGTTGGGTAATATACTGTTGGGTAATATACCAGCACAATATGTGTGGTTACGCGACACCAAACAGCTCTGTATATTACGGTACACAACTTACAACACACACAAACACACATGCACACAAACACACATGCACACAAACACACATGCACACAAACAGACGTTCTAAACATGTAATAAATTAAGATCACAGAATGCGTCGTTCTGTGCTGTCTTTTTCTTGCTACAGCTAATCTGGCGATCGAGTTGAAAGAAATTAATGAAGCGTTTATGTCGTTTTGCAGAGTCACTCCTGTCAACGCTCCTGTCAATGCTCCTGTCAATGCTCCTGTCAATGCTCCTTTCAACGCTCCTGTCAACGCTCCTGTCAACTCTCCTGTCAACTGCCAGTCATATTAATTAAAGGTTCTACTTGCCCCGTCATCAAATTATGTATTTTTTGCAAAATCGAAGGCGTCAAGAGTCAAGTGCGCGTTTAAATTAGGCGGCAATAGCAGTTCATGTCTGTTGTTTTTTTTAACAAAACGGTTAATTCAATAGAATAATTAATAAGCGGTTAGTTCAATGGAATAATTAGTAGGCGGTTAGCTCAATTGAATAATTAATAAGCGGTTAGCTCAATGAAATAATTAATAAGCGGTTAGCTCAATGAAATAATTAATAAGCGGTTAGTTCAATGAATATTCTAAGAAGTTAGTTCTAGAATATTCTAGTTCTAGCATATTCTAAGTGTAGCCTATTTTTCACTAGCATATTCTAAGTGTAGCCTATTTTTCACTAGCATATTCTAAACTAGCATATTCTAAGTGTAGCGTATTTTTCACTAGCATATTCTAAGTGTAGCCTATTTTTCACTAGCATATTCTAAGTGTACCCTATTTTTCACTAGCATACTATAAGTGTAGCGTATTTTTTACTAGCATATTCTAAGTGTAGCGTATTTTTTACTTCTATATTCTAAGTGAAGAGTATTTTTTTTAACCCGCCGTATTTTGCGAGCGTCAGCCCGCCTCATCATAGGCCTATACCGCCCCCACAACACACAAAATATCGGCCTATCGTCCGCTGCGCTCGAAAACCCTCTCAGGCCAAACATTTTTTTCCTCCTTTGAGAGCCTCTTGAGCCTCACATGGAAAAACGGAACTTGGTTCACTTTTTTTTCGAAATTAAAGGCGAATTATAAGTGGCCGACAATGACCGTCCCGTGTTCTTTTTGCTAACAGGCCTCGCTTATAAAACGGCGGAAATTCTCCTATAAGAAAAATGATTAATAAACTAAAGGCACAAGATTATTTTCACGAGGAACTTTAGGCGGCAACGGAGGCAGCTAAAAATCTGCGGCAGGCTGATATTAGCGTATCATCAATTAGTAACAACCCTGTTGTAACAATGGGTTGAAGTTACGTAACGATGGGTGGCTGGGTTGAAGTGAAGTAGCACTGGGGGATGGGTTGAAGTTAACCATATACTGTATGGTCAGAAGGGTCGGTTGACGTCACCCGTTGACATCACTATCAACAAGAAGCTTGGCCGTCCATAAGCCTTCCAAACAAATACATCACAGCGACACTCCATACATCACGGGACAGACCCGCTGAAAAACGCGTGATGAACGGCGGCGGGTCGAGGCCCTCGAGCCGCCTACCGACGGCGGCGGGTCAGGACCCATATCCCGCCATTCGATCGCGTCGGGCCGGTACCTACGACCCACCATCATAAGGTGGCGGGTCAGGGCCCACGACTCACCAACACACGGCGGCGGATCGGGGCCTTCGACCCACCATCATACGGCGTTGGGTCGGGGCCTTCGACCCACCATCATACGGCGTTGGGTCGGGGCCTTCGACCCACCATCATACGGCGTTGGGTCGGGGCCTCCGACCCACCATCATACGGTGTCGGATCATACGGCGTTAGGTCGGGGCCCGCGACCCGATTTGGCGGCGGTGCGTGGGCCTCAAGGCGGCGATGGCGTTGCGATACTGCGATGATGGATCGCCGGCCGTGCGGGCGGATATCGGGGCAACGTTATCACAATAAGCCATTGTGCGAACGCAGCAAGGGTGAACTACAATAAATTCGTTGTGTGGGAGGTGCGATTAAATAATGGATACATTAACAGTTACCAATACTATTCGTACCTAAAACCTGATGTCGCGCTTCCTTCAAGTCGCTAAGTACGCGAAATTTCAAAAAGTGGCACTTCCATACTATTTCTGCGCTACAAAGTGCTACATGGAGCTGCATTGAGCTAATTTTTGGTAGCTGCTGTATATATTCGGCAGGTGAAGAACAAATCCGATTTCTTGATGCAAAGTTAATCCATTTCTCACGGCGAGAACACATAGTCTGTGATCACAACATAGATAGACCACATACGTAGTCTGAGGTTTAAATAGCGAAGTGTAGTACTCTTTAAAATAATTTGAGTACTCTTTATAGTGCAGTCTACATGACGCTGCTGTTTTTCTCTTAATGAAATATAATTTACGGTTAAAATAAAACCAAATCTCGGTTGGTCTTTTCTTGCAACTATGGCCGCTTTTGTTCAACGCTAGGAATTATGAGGGTAATAATATTTCCTATCGATCCCGTACTTGATAACAATAAGCTGGCTTATGTCTGAGCTGCAGTAAGGCGAAGGCTCTGAAGAACAACTCTGTGCTTCAGAAGCTTAAAGGGAGACTCTGAAGTTATGATGCCTGAAGTTCTGAGCTCTGAACTCCTGAGTCGACAGTACGAGCTAAGTTTGCTCGTCCAGCAATTCAAGTTTATCCCTGAGGGCGCGGAAGACAACTTAGTTCTGATTAATACTAAGGGGGAGCAATCGCTGGCCACCTGAAA